TCAACAACATCCTGCTGTTTCTCAATGCCTCACCTTTCTTTCTGCTGACCCACCGCTGGGCCCATTTTAATCCAATTTTTATTTCTGTTCATTCTTCTGAATCTGCTGCTACAATGCCTTGTGGGTCCACGACTTTTTCTTTTCTATTTCCCCACCTCCTCCCTTCTTTTATGTCTTCTTCCCCCCTCTTCCCGGTGTGGGTTTTTTTAGATTGTGAGCCTGCAGACCGAGCGCGCCTTTTTACAATGCACTTTTTCTAAAATACTGATTGTTACAGTGTTTTATAAATGATAATTAAAAAAAAATGAAAACCAAATAAATGATCAAGAAGCTGAATTCTGCAAGCGGCGTACGTCCCGTTTTCCTGCAGGATCAGGGGATGCACTCAGCTTGGGCTATCCCTGCCTGATTTAAGTAACGGTTGTTGTTCATTGCACAGCTGCATGGAGTTAATCAAGTAGAACCTTTATAAAATCTGGATTGATGTAGAGAGCTTTATACCAGCCACAAAATAAGGGCTTCTAGACGGGTGACATGAAGACTGGTTTGCTACTACTAAAAGAAAATGAACAGTGTTTAGGAGAGCAGTGCCAACAAAATCCAAGAGGCTTTTTTGAAATCTATGGGCTTGCTCCACATGTAAACACTTGGTATGAGCCAGAAGTAAGTTTTCTACATTTTGAAACTAATTATTAAGGTATTATGGTTTGAAATAATTAATTTCCATGCAGCTACATATGAATTTTCATTTACCTTGGTTTTTCCAGGATACTATGAAGAAAATTACAATATTAAACTGGATTAAGATGCTGACCTCTCCCTTCAGTATAGAATTACATCTGAGGAAGACTGTAAAGTTGAAATGAGTCTATACCGGATACTCATTATGTTGAACTATATTGGACCTGTTGTTCACAATATTGTGCATTTGATAAAACGTTTTGTAATTTTATAAGTCTTGAAAGTAATATAAATCTTCTGATAATGTTTACATCACAGGATTGCTTATGTGTTTTTCCTATTGGATACCTGTGACCCCTCTTGTTTTGTACTGTTTGATTTAAGTAACGGGCTAGTTCAAGAAAACCCACAGGACTCAGGCCATCCCAAACCATCCTTCCAGATACAGAGAACGGCAGAAGGATTTTGGTGTGTCCTTACGATGCACCCAGCCCCTCTGAAATTTTTCATCCTGCATTTCTCCTGCAAAGAAGGACTCAGAGCAGCTCATAAAACAATAAATGACACGAACTCACAGTACGATAATAAGACAAAAAACGGTGGGGGGGGGGGGGCTTGACTACTGCATATGCCTCTTCCAGCCAGAGTATTTTAAATCAGAAAAACTGTAGTGGACTGTCAAAGTGCTCCCATCCAATTTGATCTCACCAACTTCCTAAACTTCTGGAGGGGAGGCTCCCCACAGCGCCATCCGAAGCAAAGTTACAGCCTTCTACACCCATTCATTTCCATGGAGTTTGAAGAGTATAACTCCGCTTAGGATAGTTTCAGATGTCTGTGAGGAAGGACGCTAACACCCCGAACATCTTGTAGGCCTCAAAAGTGCTCGTGGACTTGAATCTCTCTGTTCTGCTTAGGACGGCACTCTACATCTTGGGGTAAGACACCCAGTGCCAGGTACCAGCTACCTTCCAGACTGGAGGTGCCAGGGGGTGCGGCTGAGCCAGGGATGCCGGCTCTGGGTTGGAAAACACCAGGAGATTTGGGGGGGGGTGGAGCCTGAGGAGGTCGGGGTTTGGGGGAGGGGAGGGACTTCAGGGGAGCGTAATGCCATAGAGTCCGCCTTCCAAAGCGGCCGTTTCCTCCAGGTGGACCGATCTCTGTCACCTGGAGATCATTCGTAATAGCGGGAGATCTCAAGACACCACCTGGAGGTTGGCAACCCTAGGCTGAGCGGATGGAGAAACTCTCCCTTGGCAGACTGGTCTCCTCCGATAATTTTATTTATTTATTTATTTATTTTTGGGATTTCTATCCCGCCCTACCCAGAGGCTCAGGGTGGCTAACAACAGTTTTAAAAGTTTATAACAATAAAACAATAATATATACAATAAAATCTGGTGCTACAGTCTACATACATTATCCACAGATCTATATGTGTTATACACAATGCACAGCAGCCCCCATTTGCAGTTAGCGTTCTTAATAGCGGGAATGCCAGGAACAGTTCTCCCACACAGTTTTTCGGGCGACATCTACCCCCCACCCGGGTACGGCAGATGGATGGAACATCATGATGGTGGTATAGCGGCGGCGGCGGCTCTTACCCAAAGGCCTGGTGGAAGAGCTCCGTCTTACAGGCCCTGCGGAACTGTACTAGGTCCCGCAGGGCCCGGATCTCCTCCGGGAGCTCATTCCACCAGGCAGGAGCCGCCACCGAAAACGCCCTAGCTCTGGTCTGGGCCAGCCTCACAACTCGGGGGCCTGGAACTTCAAGGCGATGGAGGTTTATGCAAGCAGGTCACAAACAACAACTGGGAATCTATTTTCCCCCCCACTTGAGAAAAGCAGGCTGCACAGTTGCCAAGGTGATGAAGGAAGAACTTTCCTCTCCTCCTAATTAGGGGGAACAGAGTGGGCAGAGTCCAGCCACCGTTATGCAAGTCTCCATTGTCCACTTCTAGCGGCTACCGTGGGGTCAGCGGACGCATCCCTTCCCTGCAGTTCTTTTTTGTTCTCAATGTAGGACACTTTGAGCAGAGCTTCACGGAAAAGCGACATCGAAACGAAAAGATGAAAAGGGAAACCGGAGGAAACGACTAACGAGCCCGAACCTTGAAAAATCCGGGGATGCGAGCTCCCTCCCTTTGTCGGTAATATCCCAGATCTTAAAGCCCCGTCTCCACTGTAACTCTGTGATAATTTCCCAGCCACCGAGGCCCCTTACCTGTCCAGCCGGTATAAGTGGAGCAGTCGTGCGGGTCTGCCGTCTTCAGTCCTTCTTCCATCTGCTGCAACAGATCCTTAATTTTCGCTGTGACCTTTTTATCGAAATAGGAGCCGATCTGTAGAAATGTAGATGGGAATTATTTGTGGCACCCACGTTTTTAAAAAAGCAAATGGGGAGGGGGGGGGACAAACCAAACCTGACATTTAGTCGATAATTTTCTACACTAAAGGATTTTTGGTCCCTTTACAGTCTGTAGGGCAGAGAGAGGGTTAACAGGGGGGGGGGGTGCGCGTCTCTTCTTAGGATGCTTCTTCAGTCCCGTTGGCTGCCTCCTCCCTCTAGGAGTCAGAATCCCAGAGGATTCATTCAGTAATCTATCTGTTTAGCTGAGGGCAACAGATTTCTCAAGAACGTGTTAAAGGCAAAGGAATTGCCAAAAGTGTTTCCACCTTCTGGAACCTGTGGAGAACTCTCATGTTTATTTTTACCTCCCCGGTCAAATAATAACCTTTTTGGAGCTGTTTCAGCTCAGGAAAACAGCACCAGGGGAGCTCCCCCCAAACTGAAGTCACAGACCGAATAGGGCCCCTGCAGCACTTCTCAACGGGGTTGCCACCAGGATCCTACTGTGAAGCGGGTCAGACGGAAAGCAGACCAAGGTCATCCTTGCAATCTTCCATGGCAGAGCCAAGATTTTAGCCCTGTCTCCCCCAGAGGTTAACTGCTACACCCCACTGGCTCTCCAGGAAGTTTTGTGACCAGTTCATGTGTCATCTACCAAAAACATGACCTTAAGTATCTCTGTGTATGGAAGTGCCATCAGGTTGCACCAACTCGGCATCCCCAGCAAGGGGCTTTCAAGGCAAGTGAGAAGCAGAGGTGGTTTGCCATGGCCTTCCTCTGCAAAGTCTTCCTTGGTGGTCCCCCATCCAAGTACCAACCCTGCTTAGCTTCCAAGATCTAATGAGACCAAGCTGTACCATGCTCCCTTGCCTATAAACAGGGGTCATTTCCAGCAGGAGTGCACAGGAGCGGAGCTCCGGCAGTAAAGAGCCCAGGGGGCGGGCACATGCAACAAGCCCCACCCCCTGCTCCCAGCAGCCCTCAGTCAGAGCAAGAAGCAGCCAGGTAAGTTGCAGACCCCCCCCCCCGGCCCACCGGTCCAAAACAGTCCAGGGGCACCTTTAAGACCAAGTTTTATTCAGGTACAAGCGCTCCCTCCTCTGCAAGGACAGATCTGCACGCCCCCCCCCCAATAGCTAGCAATCCAAAACAGTCCAGTGGAGCCTGAACGGTGGGGGTTGCCTTCTGACACACTTCCGGTGATGTCAGGGGGTGTGGCATATGCAAATAAGTTATGTTAATGAGTTATGCTAATGAGCTCCTCCCCCTCTTTTTCTACAAAATGACCCCTGCCTATAAGTCTCTCTCTGCCATCAAGTTGCAGGCAACTTATGGTGATCCCTTAGGGTTTTCAAGGCAAGAGATGTTCAGAGGCGGTGTCCCATTGCCTGCCTCTGTGTAGTGACCCTGGCGTTCCTTGGTGGTCTCCCATCCAGGGCCAACCCTGCTTATCTTCCGATATCTGACATCGGGCTATCCTGGGCTATCCAGGTCAGGGCAAGTATCTCTACTGCAACGAAAAGGGGTGAGCAATTCCCAACTGGCCAAACATCTCTCAATCATATGTCCAATTTAACTACTTGCCATTAAGAGTCATGAAGCTCGCAATGATACTGAGGGAATCAGCCAGGCTAAAATAAAACCTTAAGAACATAAGAGACGCCAATGTTGGATCAGGTCAATGGCCCATCCAGTGAAAACACTCTGTCACACAGTGGCCAAAAATACCAGGTGCCATCAGGAGGTCCAGCAGTGGGGCCAGGACACTAGGAGCCCTCCCACTATTGACCCTCCCCCCAAGCACCAAGAATACAGAGCATCCCTTGCCCCAGCCTGAGAGTTCCTATCTATACCTTGTAGCTAATAGCCACTGATGGACCTCTGCTCCATATGCTTATCTAATTCCCTCTTGAAGCCGTCCATGCTTGTAACAGCCACCACCTCCTGTGGCAGTGAATTCCGTGTGTTAATCACACTTTGGGTGAAGAAGGACTTCCTTTTATCCGTTCTAACCCGAATGCTCAGCAATTTCATCGAATGCCCACGAGTTCTTCTATTGTGAGAAAGGGAGAAAAGTACTTCTTTCTCGACCTGCTCTGTCCCAGGCATAATCTTGTAAACCTCGATCATGTCACCCCTCAGCCGTCGTTTCTCCAAGCTAAAGAGCCGCCCCAAGCGCTTTAACCTTTCTTCATAGGGAAAGTGTTCCAACCCTTTTATTATTCTAGTTGCCCTTTTCTGCACTTTTTCCAATGCTATAATAGTGACAACAGAGTGTGTAATGCAATCCACAACCATGTCAGGGTGCGCATAAATGTCTCCATCAGTACTTCAGTGTTGACCAGTGTTCCCTCTAAACTGTGCACGTGGACACAGAAAGCCCCACTTAGCAGCAGTCTGGAGCCCTGCAGGGTCTTGCGCTGCCCATCGCCCATGTTAAGATTACAGCAGTCATATTCTGCTCAGGATGTGAGAACTGCTCCACTCGGTAAGGGAAAAAAAATTAGGGGGGAACATTGGTGTACATGGCTCAAGTCTGCCAAGTCAGTCCCAATCCCAGGTGTGTGGTGTGGAGTATCCTTTCAACAGACCGACTCAGTTGGGAAGGGGGGGGGTTGAACTAGTCTTGGGGTTGCCCCCCCCCCCCCCCGGTTTGTAACAAGCAAGCAGATCATCAAAGTCTGAGAGCAGCTCTCCAGGCCGCTCCGCATTCATCTGTCATAACATTGCTACTATATTTAACTGCTGTCAAAACGTTATGATTCTGCGCTGATGCACCAGAGATGCGATGCAGTCAAGGTAATGGCTGGAAGTGAAGAGCCAGGCACGTAGATTTAAGACTGTCTAACTCTACTCCAGAGGTGTTAGCTAGATGTTACCCCAATCTATCAGACAGATGTTGGAAGTGCAAAACAGAAAAAGGGACTTACTTTCACGTTTGGTGGTCATGTAGAATAGCACAAAGATATTGGAAAGAAATTTATGAAATTATTGTTCAGATGATTATGTTGAGAATCCCATATGAGCCAGAGATATTTTTGTTAAATATTATGCCTGATAATTAAAAAAAGACAGAAGTACACCTAACTACGCATCTGCTCACGGCAGCCAGGATCTTATTTGCAAAGTACTGGAAACAGGAAAATATACCGGCTAGAGAGGAATTTGTAATTAAAGTAACAGAAGTGGCCGAATTGGACAATCTTACTATGAAGCTCCGAGGGAAAGATGATGATACATTTCATAATATTTGGCTTAAGTTTTATAGCTGGTTACAGAAAAATGTATAGCTTGCGATTGACATATAAATGGAGGTGAAGGCACAATATATATATTAGTGAAGGCACTAATGTATACAGTATTATGCCAGGGAATTCAAGTTTTTGTTTATGTATGTTATGTCTTGTATGTTGTGTTCAGTGTTATTTTTGTTTGAGACACTAATAAAGAACTATTTTTTAAAAAGACTGTCTAACAGTTAAAAGATTGGCACCTGATTCCCCACAACCCCCCAGTGATGCCCATGCCAGGTTTCCCCATGTTTGCTTACCAGGGATCAGGGCCCCTAGCCCTCGGGCAAGTCTTTGCCCTGGATAGCATGCCCACGCAAGGAGTTCATGGCTGGTTGCTCTTATGCCATGCTGAACTGGGGAGCAAAAAGCTCGGAGGGGGGATGACACTTGGTATTCCATCCTCCCCTCTCCCGAGTCCACCAAAAGGGCCCAGGAACTCAGCCCGCTTCTGTTTCTCCGGCGGCCTTGAGAGAAGGGGGGAGGCCTGTGTCACCCTGTCTTACCCTAACCTACAGGCTTTCCTTCCTGGTTACCAGGGTGTGATCTTTACTCACTAAAGGTGACCGGGCAATTTTTCAAGCCATCTTCGCTGCACCATTCATTCACCTGCCAGCTACTCACTGGCCGCAGTCACATACACACTAAGTAAGCCACTTTCAACCCACCTTCCAACTGGATTTTGCCAGTTCACACAGTAAAGATCCAGCTGGAAAGTGTATTGAAAGTGGATTATTTAGGGTGTGTGACCGCAGCCACAAACGGTGCGGCTGGGCTTAGTAACCAAGGGCTATTATCTGCAAGACAAGCCCTCTCTTTAACAGACCTCGGAAGCAGACAGAAACAACAGGAGGGTTTCATGCCGCGTCTGCCTATTCCAAAATTATCCAGGACACAGAAGAACCCCACCTCTTCCCCTCAGCCTGCACCTCCCCTCCGCCTAACCTACCTACCCTGTTTCCCCGAAAATAAGACCTACCCAAAAAATAAGCCCTAGCAGGATTTCTATGCATTTGTGGTATAAGCCCTAGTGTGTCTTCTTGAGAACAAATAAATATAAGACAGTGTCTTATTTTCGGGGAAACACAGTAACAGCATTGCTGGAAGGATAAAACGGGGAGAACTATGTAGGCACACACACACCCCTCTCCTGAGCAGTGTTCCCTCTAAGCTGAGTTAGTGTGAGCTAGCTCACAGTTCTTTAGACTCTGGCTCACACATTTCTGTCTTCGCTCAGGAAGGGATGGCTCCAGAGCACACTAATTTATGCAGCAGCCAAATCGCTCGCTCACAACTTTAAATGCCAGGAGCTCACAAAGCGGGCAGATGTCAAAAGAACCTAGGGTTGCCCAGTTCCCCTTGGCCACCAGTGGGGGTGTAGAATTGCCATCTCCAGGCTGGGAAACTCCTGGAGATTTGGGGGGTTGAGCCTGGGGAGGACAGGGACCTCAGTGGGGTTCAATGCCATGGAGTCCCCACTCCAAAGCAGCCATTTTCTCTAGGGGAACTGATCTCTGTGGCCTGGAGATGAGCTGTAATTCCAGGGGACCCCCAGGGCCCACCTGGAGGCTGGCATCCCTAACACAACCTCCGGTCCTATGCAGCCGACAAAGAACACCCCTTTCGTAACATGTTGACAACGTGATTTCTATGAACCAGAAGAGAACGCAGTTTGCTCCAGTGAACTCCTGTTGCAGCAAAATTAAACAGACTAAAACAAGTAACCCCTCCGGAGCTATTTTACAGATGAGCGCTCCCCCGCCTCCCCAACCCGCACAAGGCCACGAGAACAGGCTAGCAGGCTTTTTAGCTTTCGTGGCACAGGAGAAGGGCCGGGGGAACGGAGGAAAGGGCCACACAGGTCCCGACGGGACCAGCCGGCAGCATCTCATGACTTTATGCAAGTCTGCTTTGGAAAGTTGAAGACAACATCAAGCCAAAAGCAGAAGATAATCGTTGGCCTCAGAGTCTAATCTTCAAACAGGGGCTACACACTGAAGGTGTCCTTTGGACAAAGGGTTTAGCACCAGCCAAGAACGGTGAGTTCTCTTGATACCTGCAGCGACGCAGGTCACTTTCACTGCTCACTTCTTCAGAGACAAAACGGATGCTTGCGTCTCCTGACATCTGGGCAGTGACGTCATGCCAATCGGCAATGACGTGTTTTTACCCTCTTAGAAACACTCTGTTTACCATTTGTGAGGTTCTTGACAGTCCCTCTGCCTCCAGAAAGAGAACTGAGATGCCAGATCACAGAAAATACAGGTGTGTAAACGGCCCTGCCAACCTAGCAGTTCGCAAGCAAGAAATTGCAAGTAGATAAATAGGGACCACTTCGGTGGGAAGGTAACAGCGTTCCGTGCACCTTGGTGTTTAGTCATGCCGGCCACATGACCACGGAAACGTCTTCGGACGGCGCTGGCTCTTCGGCTTTGAAACGGAGATGAGCACCGCAACCCTAGAGTCGGACTCGACTGGCTTTCGAGCAAGGGAACCTTTACCTTTACCTAAACGGCCCTAACTGGTCAGAGGAAGAAAAAGACCGGCATCCACCAGACTGAGTCCAGCAGTATAAGCTTTCAAGAGTCAAAGCTCCCTTCGTCAGATACAAAGATTGGGCTCTTGAAAGCTTATACCCGAAAATCTTTTTGCTCTCTAAGGTGCTGCTGGGCTTGAATCTAGCTGTTTTGCTGCAGACCAACAGGGGTACATTTGGCATCCATCAGATCATCCAAGGAAAACAGGCATAATTTGAGGAAACACCCTGAGCTCCTTGGTAGAAGAATGGGATAAATATACAAGAAATTCACCGGCTGGTTAAACTATGTACTGCTTTGAAGTTTTCACCATCTGATCAATTTCGATATTAAAAACATCTGAGGCCCCGGTCACACGGGCCAGATAATGCGGGGGGGGGAGGCGTGGCTGTTCGCCCCAGAGCAAAATAAAGCGCGGTAGCCCGATCACATGCCCCCCCCGAGTCTCCGTGCTTCGGCTGTTAGTTGGCGATCACACGGCGATGCTGCCCAGTGTGGCAAAGAAGCGGCGTGGCGTGATCACACAAGCGTTTTGCGTTTGTGCGCATGCGCAGTTCCGCGGACCAGCACTGCTTTCAGTTCTGTGTTTCTGCGCATGCGCTTATGAAAAACATCTGGTTTGCGACGGGATGTGGACAGGCGCCGGATGCTACGGGATACTAGCGCTCCCATGATCAGATGCCCGCCCCTGCCACGCGTTTTCCGGATATTAGTGCACTTTCCGAGGTACTTTTTAACTCTGCATCTTTGGTGGGACACCACGGGTTGGCCACAGGTGCGCTACGCTTCCCAGATGTTGCGATGTGATCGCGCCCCGAATATGTCTAACGTTGTTTTTAACCACCTGCACACACCTCCCAAAATGGCCCTTCTTGACTTTCAAAGGCTTAAGCACGGCACAACTCTAACCTGCGTTAGGACGTCTCCAAGCTCTTCCCCACTGCTCAACCACACACCCTCCTGGACTCCCAACCAGGCAAGCCTTACCAGCCATTCTGTCCTACCCGCCCCAAACCCTGCAGAGTCAGGTTCTGAAAATGAGTACTGGAACAAGAGAATCCGCAGCTTCTGACAAAACTACAGTCCCTCGATTCTCCGGTGGAAGCCACGGCAGTGAAAGGCACATAAAATTGCAATATATTTCTAATCCTGCTAGGCCTCCGTTGCCTTTATACAATTGTTCCCAGTTTGTCCCTATCAGTGACTGCCCACAACCGATCCATCGACACAGACCTGTATTTCCATCTCGCGGAACATCAGCATGGCTTCTATTAATTTCACCAAAAGAAGGTGCAAAAAGTCTTATTGCCCTGCACGCAGTTAGCCACACTAGGACAAGCCAGCTTTCTTTACGTGAAAGGACTTTGCTTTTATACAGAGCAGGCCCGTAGCTACAGTGGGACCTCTCGCGCCTAGGCCCCCTCCCCCGGCTTGCTGGCAAGGCCCCCTGACTTCCCATCTAGCCCAGGGTGTCATGGCCTTCTTCCCCCGATTAAATTGATTAGCCTGTGCCCCCTAAGAAATTTAGAGAGAAGAGATTGGATTTATACCCTGCCCTTCACTACCCAAGAGAGTCTCAGAGCGGCTTACAAACTCCTTACCCTTCCCCTCCCCACAACAGACACCCTGTGAGCAGTGTTCCCTCTAAGCTGAGTTAGTGTGAGCTAGCTCACAGTTTTTTAGCCTCCAGCTCACATTTTTGTCTTAGCTCAGGAAAGATGGCTCCAGAGCAAACTAATTTATGCAGTAGCCAAATTGCTCACTCACAACTTGAATGCCAGTAGCTCACAAAGTAGAATCTTTGCGCACAGGACTCCACAGCCTAGAGGGAACATTGCCTGTGAGGTAGGTGGGGCTGAGAGAGCTCTGACAGAAACTGCTCTTTTTCAAGAACAGCTCTTATCAGAACTATGGCTTGACCAAGGTTATTCAGCAGCTGCATGTGGAGGAGTGCAGAATCAAACCCGGTTCTCCCAGACCGGAGTCCGGGCACTTAACCAGTACACCACACTGGCTTTAAATGCCCCGACTTAAATTTTTTTGGCTACGTGCCTGATACAGAGGAGCATTTCACCATGCGAGCCCCACTCACTGTTAGAAAGGATACATATCCCCACAGTGAAAACTAGGCCCCAGCAGTCAGGCAATCCTTGTGCTACATAAAAGGCCCATTAATTTTGTTTGCCAGCCAAAGTGGTCGACCACTATCTGGGAGGCCCAGGTTCGAACCCACACTCCACCTTGCTGGGTGACCTTGGGCCAGTCACAAACTCTCAGCCAAACCTACCTCACAGCGTTGTTGCGAGGATAAAATGGAGGAGAGAATAACATAAACTGCCTCGAGTCCCTCCTGGGGAGAAAGGCAGGGTATACATGAATTAAACAAATACATTTGGAACAGAAGCCGCTCTGCACGAGAGGTACTAGCCCCAAAGTCAGTTCTTGCATCAAAATAAAACAGGAGTCCTCCTCCGAGCACCCGCAACGACTAAGGATCTAGTGCAGCCTAAACTTCCGGGAGTCAATGGCATACGTTCTGTTAGTCTTGGAGGGCGCTTCCTGAACTCCAGTTTCATTCGGAACGAGACTCTCCGCCAGCGTTCTGTTTATCGCTCCGGCAGGCGTTCGCAGAATTTCTGCAGTCTCGCGAAGCGTGCAACGAAAGGCCTGGAGGCGAAGAAACGCCCTCGAGGAAAACATGGGGGGGGGGGAGAGAATGCAAGCAAAAATCGAGGAGGGGGTTACATCCCCCCGGGCGGTGCAAGAAACAGAACACAAACCGCCCCCTCGCCCTTTTACTGGGGGAAATGTTCCAAGGCTGCAGCCGCGGGCGGGGCGGGGCCGGGCGGGAGAGGTTCCAAAAGCTTTCCGCACATCAAAGCGCCGCGCGCGTTCCAGGCGGCAGTTCTAGAACGCCGGGAACCTTCAACGTTCTAGAGCGCCGGACCCCAGGCTCTAATGAGCCGAACGCGGCGGCCGCGCTGCAGGGAGTCCTCGTGGCCAGGCCTGCCTTCTTCGCTCACGTCCACTCACCTTCCCGTCGCCATCGAAGGGGAGGGCGTCGTCTCCCTCGGGCGTCGACGAGCCGCGCCGCTCGCCCTCCGAGCCGCTGGGGGAAGCCTCGGCGGCGCTGGGCGGCGGAGCCCCGGCGCCGTGGGCCGTGTAGTCCGGGTAGGGGTTGTTGAAGGCCCGCTCCTCCATCTCCGCCTCGCCCCCCAGTTGCAACTTCAGCCTTTTGGACATGCCCTCTCCCATCTCAGCCCTTCCCACCGCGGCACGGCGAGCCGGCGAGGACACGCTTCCCCGGCGAGCGAGAAGAACCGCAACGCCAGCGGAGGAGAAGGAGGAGGGGGGGGGCGCTGCGGGGAAAGGGCAGCAGCAGCTGTTGCGCCGCCGGTCCACGAAGAAAGCAGGGAGGGGAGGCTCCAGCCGGTGCTGGAGGGGCTATGATCCGAGCCCGAACCCGCACTGGCGGCGGCTCCGAAAGCCCTCAGTAGTCGCTGTGAGCCCCGCTGCCGGCACATCTGGGAGGCATCGAGGCGGGGAGAGAAGTGTCTCTGTCGGCGCTCCTCCTCCCTCCATTCCTGGAATGCGGCCGGCCAACTTTCCGAGAGACGCCGGTGCCTTGCCACCGGTTGCCACCCGTCCCCGGGGGATGCTGCCCTGCCTCCCCGGCAGCACCATGCCCTGCAAAGGAGGGGGGGCAGTTTCCTGGGAATCGGACCGGGGGGGGGCTACAACAACCTCTCCCTCTTTCTTTCTCTCTCTCTCCCCCCGGATCAATCCTCAGCAGCCAAACTGCTCAGCTCCAAAACCCGACACCCCCCCCCCCCAAATCCCTCCTTTCCCGCCGCCGTCCATCTCCTCTCTCTCTCTCCCTCCCTCCCGGGGCCGAAGGAAGACGCTCAGGCCGCCGCGCCCTCCGCGCCCCGAGGCGGCCGGCTCCCGCGGGCTCCCTCTCCCCGGGTTCGAGTCTCCCCCCCAGTCATGTCAGAAGACGATCATGAGGAGCATCAGGGGGAAAGAGAAGCCGAAGAGGAGGCAGTAGAGCAGCAGGTCCTTGGGCAGGGACATCCGAAGGAGCCTGGGGGCGCCTGGGAGCATCGAGGCCGCCGGGCAGAGGCCCGCCGCCGCCGCAGCCGACAATCAGTATTCAAGGAGCCGCTTCCAGACGCCGACGCCGACGTCGCCTCTGCTGCTGCTGCTGCTGGGGCTGTAAACACGCCTGTCGCTCTCGCAGCCTGGGAGCAAGCGGAGGACGAGAGCCCGGCTGCTCCCCTAAGCCAGGGCCTGGCGCCTCGCCTCCGATCCCTTCTCCGGTCTGCAGTGTGCGCCTCTCGCGCTGCTGGCCTCGGCGTGTGGTGCCAGCCCAGGCAGTGCACACGCGCCATCCCCCGGGGCTCAGGGGGAGGCTGCAGCCGCTTTCCGTGGGCAGCCGCCAAGAGCGCATAAGCACGCGGAGGCCGGTCGCATCGCTGCTGGGGAGAATCCAAAGGGTGTCCTCCTCTCGCCATTGCCCACCGTCCCGTTCTGTTTCTCACTGGACGGGGCAGACATATATAGGCAGCCTAAGCTAGACCGACGTGTCTCTCTCCTTGGAACATTGCTGTTCTCCCTCCCTGTCCATTTTAACCTCTGCTGCGGCGTTCTGATCTGCCTGTTGGCCATAATCAGAAGACAGGTCTGGAAGGAGATTCTGCTAAGGTCTATGGGAAATGGCAGAAGCACAGAAAGGCGGGGCTGGCCAATGCATCTCCTAAAAGGGAGGCTCTTCTGTAAAGGACAATGCTTTGAGAGAGGGACGGGGAAGGCGTTATGGAAAGGGCAAGGCCCGGCTGGTCTGTACTTGCCTGGCAGCTTTCCCCAGGGCCTGGCCTCTCGTCAATCTGTTGACTGACCATCCTTCCATGAAACTGCATGGTGGAAGGCCAAACATCAGCAGACCCTGCTGGTCTGCCAAGGAGAAAAGGGAAGGGAGGAGAAGGAGGTCGGCCGCTTTGGGTCCCCACCGGGGAGAAAGGAATGAGTTAAGTAGAGAAAGACTAAAGCAAGCAGGGGGTGTCCATCTCAAGCGAGGTATGTGTGTGGGGGTTTAAGATGAAGGGCCTCCAGGGCAGACTGCATCATTTGTACATGGAAGGGCGACTCCCTGACTTCTCCAGTTAAAAAAACCCCTTCTCTGCCAGAAAGCTGCAGGGATAGTCTGGGTCGGATGGACCCCTAGTTTGACTCGGGTATAAGGCGGCTTAGCAGATGCCCAGGAAGGGCCCCCCCCCATGTCTCCCACGGATAATGGACTATCATTTTGGACTGTGCCCCCCCCCCTCCCAGCTTGCCATTCCTGAAAGTGCTGAAATTCAGCCTAGTCACAAGAGCAGTTTCACTTTCCGGGTCCAGTTCAAGCTGGCCACTTGCGAGTCATTCAGGGCTCCCTCCTAACATACCTTTGTGGTTACAGTCAAGTCCTCAGTGGGCTGTGTGCCTTCTGTGCGGACCCGTCGTGAGACTGCAACTCATCCCCAGTTTTAAAGGGTTGCAAAACTTGCAATGAGAGGATTAGTAACCTTCTAAAAATACCCCTTCCTCTCCAGGCCCAGTAAGGCTTTCCTCATTAAATATCCCTTTCCCCCCACTGTTCTTTCAAGTAAACCCATAGCCGCCTAAGGTGACTTTGGTCTCCCCTCCCCAAGATTGGTGAAAAGATACATGCAATTGCATGTCGTATGTTATTTCATTCTAAAACATGCCAACATATGCCTCTGTAACTAATGGTGTAGTGGTTAGGAGTGCAGACTCTAATCTGGGAGAACCGGGTTTGAGTCCCCACTCCTCCACATGCAGCTGCTGGTGTGACCTTGGGTCAGTCACAAGTTCTCTCAGAGGTGTTCTCTCACCAGCAGTTCTCAAAAGAGCCCTCTCAGCCCCGTCTACCTCAGAGGGTGTCTGTTGTGGGGAGGGGAAGAGAAAGTGCAATCCAAGCAATTTCAGCGGCTCTCCCTTCCCCATTTTATTTGCACAACATCCCTGGGAAGTGGGTTAAGGTGAGGAGGAGCAACTGGTACAAAGCCAGCTAGAACAGGGGTGTCAAACATGCGGCCCGGGGGCCAGATCAGGCCCCAGGAGGGCTTCTGTCAGATCCACAGTGGAACTGGCTGTCTTCTGCTTCGTCCAGTTCTGCTGCGTCATCGTAGGTTTGCAGCTTACAGATACACACCAGAACAGCATATTCAAGATTGCAAAAGCACAAACATTTTGATGCAATAATTCAGAGCAAGAGGTGTCAGTTATCAGACACTGTTAAACAAAATATTGTTTGTTGTTCAGTCACACAGTCGAGTCCGACTCTTCGCTACCCCATGGACCACATCACGCCAGGCCCTACTGTCTTCTGTCATGCTCCGGAGTTTGCTTAATTTCATGTTTGTTGCCTCAATAACACTGTCTAACCATCTCATCCTTTGCTGTCCCCTTCTTCTTTTACCTTCAATCATTCCCAGCATCAGGGTCTTCTCCAGTGAGTGCTCCCTTCTCATTTGGTGGCCAAAGCATTTGAGCTTCAGCTTCAGTATCTGGCCTTCCAGGGAACAGTCAGGGTTGATTTCTTTTAGGATTGACTGATTTGATCTCCTTGCAGTCCAGGGGACTCTCAAGAGTCTTCTCCAGCACCATAATTCAAAAGAATCTAATCTTCGGCGCTTGGCCTTCCTTATAGTCCAACTCTCGCAGCCATACAGTTTGCAGCTTACAGATACACACCTGAACAGCATATTCAAGATTGCAAAAGCACAAACATTTTGATGCAATAATTCAGAGCAAGAGGTGTCAGTTACCAGACACTGTTAAATAAGCAAAATATTGCAAGAATGCTAATGGTTTAAGCATTTCTTATTTTAAGTAAAAAACCCCACCCCTGTGTGTTTGTGTCCTTTATAAAGTTTATATCTCCGCTACCTGACATTACATTTTATGACACACATGGCCCAGCCCAACAAGGTCTCATTTATGTGAGATCTGGCCCTCATGACAAATGAGTTTGACACCCCTGATCTAGAAGGCTTCCATGGCAACGTGGGGCTTTGAACTGGGGTCTCCCAGACACGCTAACTACTATACCACGCTGGTCCTGTAATTGAGGGAATCGTCTTTTTAAAAAATCCTTTACTGCCTGCAAGGAATAAGCAGAGAAAACTCTGCTAGAACCTTTCTTCTAGATATGCTGCTTTGTAAGTGCAAGGAGGGTTTTTGAAATATACACATACAGGGAACATTGAAACATGCACTATCGACAACTTTCGGTTGCAGCACGTACATCTGTTAGCATGGGTGGCTGGGTTTAGCCAATCCATAACCAACGTTTGTTGCTGGGTTGGCTCCTGGTCTCTTTATAATCAGAAAGCAGGTCCAGGGGAAGATGAACATATGTTATATGAAGAAGAAGAGATTGGATTTACACCCTGCCCTTCACTCGGAGTCTCAGAGCGGTTTACAAACTCCTTTCCCTTCCTTTCCCTTCCCCTGTGAGGAAGGTAGGGCTGAGAGAGCTCTTTCGAGAACTGCCCTTTCAAGGACAGCTCTTGTCAGAACTATGGCTTGCCCAAGGCCATCCAGCAGCTGCGAGTGGAGGAGTGGGGAATCAGACCCAGGTCTCCCAGATTAGAGTCCGCACAACTAACCACTACACCATACTGGCCAATCTGCCCCTGTATTCTGCCCCTGTATCCTATCTCCACCACAATGTGGTGAGATGGGTTAGGCGGAGCAAAGAGAGACTGCCCCAAGAGCTCCCAGCAGAGCAGGGCTTTGAGCCACACATCCTAAGGACCGTGCCAGACTGTCTGGCTGCCTTCCTCGAATGCTGCTGCTAGAGCAACCTCCTGGAGAACTGGTGTCTGTTGTCTTGAAGATGTCACAGAGGGAGTCTGGTCTCCAGAGAGACCTCTTTGCTGTTGCTGCTGATGGTGCAGCTAAGAAAGTGGAAAGGAAGGAAGGAGAGAGAAGCAGGGACTGAGATCTTTCCCAGCTCAGATAATGGCCCATAATAACCACCTCAAATGGAGAGAGAGCTTTATGAACCCTTCAAATTTGGCAGCTGAGCCTGGTCATTATAAGCATCGGCTGCATTATTCTAAACAGCAGAGAAATTACCAGCAAAGTGGGCCTCAATAATCTGAAGTGTGTTTTTGGCTGTCTGCCTCTGCCTCAAACACGTTTCAGCACCCAGCTAAAATGTTCCTTTAGACTGAAGAGGGACAAACTGCCTCGGGACTTCCTAAATGCATCTATGGCAGTCTTTTAATCGATCTGCTTTTAATGGAATCATTCTGAATTGGACCATGGGGGGCGGGGGGGGCGGAGGCAATTCACCTAGTTCCAATGACAGGCAGGCAGACAGAAAGAATACCTGGTTGTTTTTCTGGAGAAGTCAGCTGCAATTTCTCCAAAAAATCACCCGTGCACTCCAGGAAAACGTGTACTCCCATAAGTGCCTGCAGAACCCCCAATGGGGATATTTCAAGGTGGGTAAATGACATGGGGGAATGCTTACATCCTCCCCACCCCCGGTGCACATAAGGCCCCTGGCTCATCTGTGCCCAGGTTTCCTAGGCTGGAACTC